ACTTTCCAAAATTTTACCGAATGACCAAACATCCTATACTTTTTAATTCTCTTCTTGGTCAGGTCATTTCGACAACATATTGTAATGACAAAGCCATATTTGAAATATGTACTTTTTTCTGATTTTATTCAATTGGCATTTGAACTAATGGAGGATTTTTTCTTACCATGAAATAGTAGACCAGAGAATTTAGTCGCTTAAACATACCCGTGCACACGCAGAAACTTACATACGGTAGCTTTACACATTCATAAATATAAACTTACACATTACTTATATCAGTAACCAAGTATGTAGCCGAAGGATAATAAATAGATTCTTTTTCGACATAATTCTTTTCTTTGACAATGCACTATTCTACACAAATCACCCAGCTAGAACATCATACGTGAAAAAATCAAAATTTCGAAATTCAGTTGCCACGTACTTCTTGGTCCAACTTTGTATATACAAAGAACGCCAAAGATACATGTTGACAAAGATAGAAAAAAAATTGTCCAATTAAATAAAGTGTCGTTGCTACAAAGCAAAAGATAAATTGTTTCGCCGACATATTAACTAGAATAGGGAATTCGACTCTCTGAGTGCTCCATATATTGGACCAGATTTAAAAGTTTCGTAAATAACTGTAGTTTTATCGCCTTAGAGAAGGGATTTGTACAACTTCAAAATACCTCACTATTCTATGATCTTATACCAGATTAAAACTAATAAAATATCTATATTACGAGGCTGTCCTAGTGTTGATAAAGTTTATCGCGCAGACCATTGTTAATGCGTTTGATCTTAATTCGATGCCTAATTTCCGTGATTATGTTAAGCTCAGAAAATATGTATGTGCACGTGGATATTAGGTCTGTATGTGTGCTCGTATGTGTGTTTATATCTGTGTGCATGTATGCACGGAACATGTGTGTGCGCGCCCACTCATATGTATGGCGTGTTTGTATGTGCGTCGTGTGTATATGCCTGGTGTGTGTGTTTGTGTGTGTGTGTGCTCGCATATGTGTGCGTGTTATTTCAAAACGTTTCTTATAAAACTTTGTACAGAACAATTTTTACCTGATAGTGCATGAGTAGAGTTGATTTCTCACTCGGATGTCTACGATCAAACCATAAACTGCTTTTTAAAAAATGGATGATTGCTCGTTTCGGAGTACTCCCGTCAATTAGGGTGGCTAGCTTGCTTGCTATCTTTGTTGACAACATTTATTCAGGCTCATTTATGTTTATTTAATATCTACAGAAGCAACCTGTAATTTATATTGTAACTATGCTGAGCAGACTTTAGTTAAAGATTCAAGAGGGACAAGGGAGTGGATAATCTGGCATGATCACCATTTGAACAAGTACTTTCACAACCATCGATGAGTTATAAAAGATTTACACACAGCCAAATATTCACTCACAGGTATTGGGGTCAAATTTCACGCGCGCTGAGGTAGTCTCCTAAAGGCTGATATTATGCAGAAGTCTACCCCCCAAAAAATCGATCTGGGTGAGATTTGGACCTGGGTCTTATGATCGGAATGCTAAATTGCTTCATTTATTTTTTCTGGTTGAATGGAAAGTTCTCACAGTTCTTAAATGAAGTTAATGTTCTCAAACCACGACAACTTGTCTTCAAACTAGATATATTAATGAAAATAATATTTGAGCTTCAGTTGTTTATTTTGGTCGCTAAAGCTTTAAATTAATGATACATGCGAAGGGTACTGAAAAGTTCTCTGCTAAATTCTAATGGTTCGTCATTCATCGAGAAAGTAGTTTGTCTCGATAGCGCTACCTCATGCATCATTTCACTCCAAGTAAGGCAATAAAGCTACTACGAAGCATGGGGTCGCTGAGTGTGAAAGAAATTGAGATAACATTATTGTTTAGAGCGGATAATAAAAAACCGAGATTCAAGGCGATGACGATTTGAAGCATTTAGATTTTTGTAAATCATAGTTGACAGGAAAGCAAGAAGAGAGTTCCAAAATCGAGTTGAGCGGAAGAAGAAGAAAAAGAAGAAGAAACGATTAGCATAGAACTTATGGTTACATCTCGCAATATTAACATTAAAATGGTGAGATTTATCTGCCAGTATAATACTGCGATTGAAATGAAGTCGATATATCAATGAGGAAAGCACATCAGAACAATTACCATGAAAATATTAATAAGAAAACTATATTACAGTGATGGAAAAGTGGTTGATGTTTGATGCTGGAATGCCAGGTGGGGACTGATAATATTGTTAGTTCTTTTGATTTCGTCCAGAAATTAAAAACACATAGCAGCAGCACCAGACGAGATATGTGAATGGCAGGCTTATAAAGATACAAGAATTTATGGGGTAAGAAAAATTGTCTAACACGAAACAATTGTGACGACGTACACTTCACGTCGTTCACTGCACAATTGCGATGACATACAAGGTAAGCTGTGCCTGCATATACACCCGACTCTTCTATGTTCACAGGTTTGTCACCTTGGCCGTGATTGAATTCAACAAAAAATAACGACAAATGCTTTTCAAGACACTGGTTGGGAAATAGCATTAATACGATTTCTCACTTAACCATGGTATTTTTCCTTCAACTTTGAGAATTGGACTGCTATATCAGTAACTTCCGGCCACGGAAAGAGGAACATTACATTCACTGACTGTCTAGGCGACTGTTGATTTTTCACTACTCTTTGGTCCCTTCCTCACTGCTCGCTCGTTACTGCTGGCCATATATACCTAACTTCGCGCCTCTCTCTGCTTATATGAATACTGGCTGTGAACTCACCCCCTATCCGTTCACGTGTGTTCCGGAGACATAGACCAGCCAAAAGCTGCATGGGTGGTCAATTTTTTTAAAGGACCCTACTTTTATGATTATCTAAAATCATTAACAAAATTTTGTTTGCCAATTCAAAGGCAAGCTGGAGACAGTTATCCTGAAAATTCTGGCAATTAAAATGAAAAGAAATTTATCTACTTATCTCCCAAGGTTGTATAAGAAACCCTATTGTTACACAATGAACGAACTTTCTTTGTGGCAGATTTAGCAACTGACCCAAGATAATCATTCCAGTTTATGTCAGTGGAAAATATTAGACTTATAAGGTACAGTCAGTTACACTTCTGGAGGTTAGCATCAGCCATGCGCATAGAAGATAAAAAAAGTTCTCTAAGGTGATTAAAGGAGAGCAGTTTATTTTTGAAGATGTTAAAATTAACAAGCCATTTCTTGCTCCGGTTCATTTGAATAATTAAAGTTCAGAGATGAATTTCATGTTGCTGTCAAAAGTACACATTGATATAGATAAGTTTAAATGTCTTTCTTTGTATGCATAATATGGCGACAGCCAAATCTTTCAACGCTTTGTTGAGCAAAACCTTTTTGGTTCGCAAATATTTGCTGAACACATCCCCTCCACTACTTTTTGCTTCGATTAAATATTATTTAAATACTTCATTGTTTGTACGTGAAATGAAAACTGTTTGTCCATTAGTGTCATGAAAATAGCGGAGAGGAGAGAAAGCTTTATAGAAGAAATGTGATGAACACACACGTACAAACACGCAAGCGCGTGCGCATAGACACACACACTTGAAGGTTAAAAAAGGCGGGATACACAGCTATATAGAGAAAGAGAGAATATGGGTAACTTGAAAAACAGTGATGACAGAATATGAGAGAGAGAGAGAGGGAAAGAAAAGATTGATAGAAATTTGCAAAGGAAATACTTTTATGATATAAAATAGAAGATTGAAACACAAAACAAAACGTTTTTCTCTTTAAGATTTTATTCATAATAAGTCTAAGTTATTCCTTCAAGGAAATTGTTATTCTCGTCATTCTCAAGAATACATTTTTCCTTCATGGTCTCATACACGAGGAAAGATGCTATTTTGCATCGTAGGAAGTTTGATTATTTCCTGCACTTCGAGAAAATTTACAATTTATTTTTCTGGCAGTATTTATTTAATCTTCTAGTTCAGTTGCCATAATGTCGTCCTGAAATTCGAATCTCGTTTTTAAGCGCCTATGGTCAATAGAGGGCAAAGACGAAAAATGTGTTATATTTCGAATAGGTTATCTCTGCTGTCAAGCGTCAACTTGCTACTCAGGAATCTATTAATGATTATCTTGACATGGAAAATGAGATAATTATCCCATTCAGTATGAAATAATTAGAAAAGATTACTTTTTTATTTTTTTATAATACTGGAATATGAGGGCGCTGACAATTTGTGTTTTACCACAAACAGAGAATCATAAAGTCAATATTAGGACAGAAAACAACGAGGCCGAAAGAAAGAGTCTCATTTTTTTTTATGAAAAAGGCTGTCAATTTCTCAACATTTATAAAAATCTTTTTTATTGAAATCAATAACTTGATAAGAGATTAAAATTGTAATCAGTTTTATTCCTTTTTTTTCTCCCCATATGTATGAGAGGATGCCGAAAAGTTTGTCATTGAACCCACTTCCATAAATCTGACCAAATAGCAGATTCTTTTGTTAGGTGTGGGAAATGGAGACTTCGTTGGTTCGAGAACCTTTCTGCATCTCTTCATATATATTTTTGTTTTAATTACAAATAAATGACTGTTGAATTCTCACAGCTTCTTTGGGTAAAATAATAAATTGGCAGTTTAATAAAACATTTGCATGTACTGTTTTATTGCGTGTCCATTGAATCTCAAAGTTAGCAAAGAGAAGACTACATGTGAAAACAAATTCTTTAGCGATATTTAGGCGGTTGAAATATTTTCCGTTAATATAATTTTCTAATCTGATCCGATCAGCGAAGAAGATTTGTACTGTTGAATGAAAAAGTCCAAATTGAGTTTAAAATGAATGAAAGGAACTCACGAGGTTTCACTTGTTTTTGTTTTCCTTAATTTTATACACATCTATTGATACCTGAAAAGTTAGATAAAAGCATATAACATTTTCATTTGTTTGTTTGTTTGTTCCTCCTTTCGCTGTTTTCCTTCCTTTTCACTTTCTTCCTCTTTGAATGCAAATTCATTTTTTCTTCTTTTTCTTACGTCATTTGTGTGGTGTCAGTGATGCCAGTATTGGCAGTTGTGGGATGTGAGTTAATCGAAAGTAAATGTTCACAATTTCTGAATGAATTTCTGGGTTTAAAAGTTACTATTTAAAATATTTGCGGTATATTGTCCTCATCTTTGTTCTTGTTATCACAAGGTTTCAGTCGTTTGCCCTCCCGTCTTCATCGGGCGTATGTCGATTACAAGGTTTTCTTCCTTGTTCCTTCTGTAAATAAGGTAAATAAAATGTCCGGAATAATAAAAAAAAATCTATTGACTATGTTGTATCAATACCTATCGTTAAGTTGCAAACATTAGAAACGTACCCTATAGTAGAACCCAAATGTTGATAGTGGTCTGCGTGACCCTCGTCTTGCTACTGATATGGACATCAAGACAAGACAAAGTGTAATTATTTAAATTTCTGAACTTTTATTCCAATATTAATTAATTTTAAAATGGAAACTATTATTCAATGCAAAACAAAAAAAATTTCTTCATTTGATTTGCCTTTCTTTGGTGCATTTTTCTACTTGAAGTCTGACCTTATTTATTTATTCTTTTTTTTATTATTGCACTTTTTCAGGTATTGTAATTCAGGTAATATTTTAAATATAGATATATCGAATATATATGATTTAATCGAACTTTTGTTTGTCTTTAAATAGTTATGGATTAAGTATAACCTACTCAGGCAGAAGGTCACGTAAGATGGCGTGTCCGGAATATTCTGTTACGCCAAACTTACTTCCAACCTGATTTAAAAATCGTCATTCTAAGGCCGGGCTTCTATCTAAGCTTAAGCATCAAATTCTCGCACCTGTAAGAAGTACACAACTTCTTTGGCCACCAATCAAGCAATATTTTCTGAATATATTCAGGTTTAAATCTATTTAGATGTATACATATGTTTACTTCTCTAGGGTCAACGAAGGCGTTTACTTGTTTACGTGCTTATGTACATGTCCTCTGGGAAGAGAGAGTGATGAAAATAGTCACCCTTTTATCACAAGCGAAAAGAGGACAAATGAGAGTAATGGTTAAATAGAGGTAAATGTAAATTCTGGAAGCAGACACCCCGCCCCATCCTATTCATACCTCAATGAAGCACAACACATGGGCGGGCTGTTTTTTATGTATGGTTATAGAAAGAAATCGCTGTTGATGAATATATAAACTTATATAAGATACATTGTTCTAATATATGAATATTTTTTCAGTCTTGTTTAGTCTTTCGTAAGATCACAATAGTATAGCATTGAATGACAACTGGAGTCATGCAGGATAGTCTTAATAAACATCTCAATACTTCAGACCTTCGAGTAGTGAAGTAGCTTCGTACAGTATTGAAACTATCAAAAGTGTACTACTGTTCAAAAAACCCGTTCACACTTCTCGCCGGTCATTTGAATAAGAATTGAGGGTTTATCCCTTGTTTCCTGTTTAAGATTCGGTTTTCGTTTCTTTCTAAAGTCTTCACATTCTCTTTCACTCCCAGTAGACCTTGCGTCTAGCAGCGTTGTCAATAAAAAATAAAAAGATATTACTAACGATGTCCTGAAAACCAGGATTAAAGAAGGTACCCTAAGGCATGACCCTATATATATATATATATATATATATATATATATATATATATATATATATATATATATATATATCGCACATATAGTGCTGGTGTGAATAAAACAATACTTGGTGTAATAAAAAGAGCTATTAAGTATATATTAACAAATATACATATTATCCTTCAACAACTGTCTATACTCAGCACCTAAATATTGCGTTGTGCATGAAAGTTCGAGTGGTGCTATCGGGAGAGATAAAAACACACATATATATATATATATATATATATATATATATATATATATATATATATATATATAAATGTATGTATGTAGGTATTTACTTCAGTGTTTTGCGGATTCATGTCAACCATAGGCACACAAAATATAAAAACAAGATACCTTGTAAATGTTCAATAGAAATACCTTTCCATATTAAATTACATGTGGATTTTGTTTTCTCTATTTCTGTATCTTTTAATTCAACTTGAAGTGAAATGAAGCTTCCAGCAGCACATGGACTTGCCTATTGTGTATTCTGATTTTTACAGTCAAAATATAATGAAATATAAAAATAAATTATCAACTACCGTATTTCATAACGCATAAAACACTATTTACATTTCTCTTTACATTTGGATATAAGACTCAGTAAATACATTCGAGCAATAATTTCGTCCCAAATTAAATCTGAGAAGGGAAATAATAATTTAATAGAAAGCACACTATTTACATTATTCGTACTATTGTCCTCATCTTTATCGCCATATTTATGACAATGTTTTAGCCGTTGTACGCTCCGGCCGTTTTCAGGTGGTTGGAACGTCGAACTGAACCCTTTATTTCGCTCACTGGAGTAGACTGTTCTTCTTCCACATGCCATGTTTAATGAATGTCAGTTATCTCCTGTTAATTCCTCTCTTCAAGTTCTCCACTGCTTTAACCGGGTATTGAACTCACACTCTTTGAGTCTTGTCACTGAATCTATCTAATGACTTTATCCACTGTGCATGTGTCTTTGATGAGATCTGTGTATGGATTTCTGGGTATTATAAACCTAATGTCTTCAGCAATCATTTTTACCAGTGCTCATATTGCAATTTTTTGCTGTTATCATTGGATGTTTTTACCAAAGCTCATATTGCAATTTTTGTTGTTATTATCGCTTTTCTTTGGCACTCCATATTACTGGTTCCCAGTATTGTATTCATTTCTATGCTTGCTCGGCTCAGGAGAATTTTTCGGCTGATTCCTTAAGTTTACGAATTTTCCAATGGTGTTCTTTGTGTATGATCTCAACCTGATCCCACAGAAGGCGGTGATCTCCCTTTTCTCTCTATATTTGGTCAGCCACGCCTGATTTTTTCACTTGCCCTCGTGTTACAGCTTTCCTGGTGTTCTTGAAGCCTTACTTTAAGGGGGCGGCCTGTCTCCCCTTTATATTTCTTCCGCAGCCAACCACCTGAAGAAGACCAGAGCATACATCGGCCGAAACGTTGTAATAAATATGGTGACAAAGATGAGGACAATAGTCCGAATAATGTAAATAGTGTACATAATACCTCATCTCAGAAATATAGACAGATACTTAATAGAAAGCATTTATTTATTAAGATATTTCCAGAATGAAAATCTGTTCTCATCATATTATTCTTCAGAAGTCATCTGCTGTGTTATGGTTTCCACATACGAACTGAATTGCTACATTAACAAAGAAACATGGGAAAACCTATCACATTTATGACTAGAACTTTGCCACATTTTTAACTTCAAAACAATTACTTTTGTCAGAATAAATTATGTTCACCACAGAAAAACCTCTTTCAGCCTCTGCACTACTTACAACAACAGTGTTAGTTACATTTTTAGCTATTACATATCGGCTATTAATGTATAAGATTCTTTTCGGATAACCCAACAACCGGTTTGCTAAACATTTATAATTTTAAGAATCGGTTCGCGTGAACCGGTAGGATACTACCACCGCCTTCGAGACATTTTCAAAGGATGCCATCAATTATGATAATCATTTGTATAATAATAAAAAATACTTATTCCACACAAAAGAACAAGATTCCCATCCAATATATTGGTATAGAAACTTTCAAAGCTTAAATAAATCAGACACAAGGTCACATTTCCTTGAGCAGCCAGGAAAAGTAGATTTGACTAACATGTTATCTGTAGCACTTATGTATTACTCAAGTAGATGCATATGTAATGGGGCTTTTGTGTTGCGTCCAAAATTTTATTAGATGTAGATATTTACTAACCTTGAAGATGAAAACCACTAGCCAAGTGAAAGTTATCCGTTATTCACTTAGCTCTAAAGCAAGCCATCTAGTTCTCTATACGTTTCACTGGCCACACACACGCAGATATAAAATTCAAATACACAATGAAGTGTACACAAATGCACGAATATAATACGTTCATCTTCAGTGACAGACATAATGCACACACGTGCAGATATTTCTATTCTCTATGCAATATACATTCATAGACTCACGCACGAATACACATGTACATGTGTGTATTTGTGTGCGTTGTGGGGGTGTACTAGACGTTACCAAAAGGTTTTTCTCAAAATCTAACCAATTTTTTTATCCTTTCATCCCAAGCAAGGTAATAAAGCCACTAGGATGCAAGAGGTAACCGAGAGTGAACGATAGAGAGGCCAATAAAATAGGATTCCAGGAGAAAGTAAATGTCGATGTATTTAAAGTTTTGAAGATCGTAGTTGACAGATAAACTGGAAGCCAAAGGAGAGTTTAACGAGTGAGAGAAGAAACCATTAGTATAGGATATATGTTTACAAGTAGCAATTGCAACAGTGAATTTATGAGACTTAGCTGCCAATCAAGTACTGTGATTAAATTCGTCAAGTCGAGATACCAATGAGGGAAATTGATCAATTTTATTGATAACATTTATAGAAGAAGAGCAATAATTAGATTATTTTTATTATTTACATTATTCGAACTATTGTCCTCATCTTTGTCGCTATATTTATCACGACGTTTCGGCCGTTGTACGCTCCGGCGTTCTTCAGGTGGTTGGAATGTCGAACTAAACCCTTTATTTCGCTTACTGGGGTAGACTGTTCTTCTTCCACATGCCATGTTTAATGGATGTCAGTTATCAGTTATCTCCTGTTAATTTCCCTCTGAAAGTTCTCCACTGCCTTAACCGGGTATTGAACTCACACTCTTTGGATCCTGTAACTGGATCTAACGAACACCTTTATCCACTGTGCCATGTGTCCTCAAGGACAGATGGCACTGTGAAATAAAGGGTTCAGTTCGACATTCCAACCACCTGAAAAAGATCGGAGGGTACAACGGCCGAAACGTTGTGATAAATATGGCGACAAAGATGAGGACAATAGTCCGAATAATGTAAAAAATGTACATAATACCACTAGGCAGATAGATTACATTTAATATCTTCTTGATTCGACCGAGAACTTTAAGCACACCCTTATATATATATATATATATATATATATATATATATATATATATATATATATATATAATCGATCCGTTGGATCCTGTAATATATATATATATATATATATATATATATATATATATATATATATATATAATAATCCTAGTAATATTACTTATTAAAACTGATCCACAAAGAGCTCGATGCATTTATTATAACAGAGCATATGTATTTTTTACATCAAAAAAGCAAAAATTAAGTCAACATAGAAGATCTATTTTAAGCTGTTCAGTGCGCGGCTATCATCAGCACCTAAGTGTCTGTCTCGGAGCATGGTTTTAAATTTATCTTCAACGTCAGTCGTCCTCTGGTAGACGCCTTGTTAATGAGAATGGGTTTGTATTAGCGATTGGTGGGTGCGTAAGGTATCTTATCTCGGGGAAAGCGGTCTGGGGTTGGAGTTTATTTCTGGCCAGGACTTGTGGTTTGTAGTTTAATATCAGTTTCTGTCATATGGCGTTCCTTATAAAGTGCGTTTTTCTGGGATTCACAGTAAATATTTTTTCGTACTGCAGGTGTCCAATATTATTAATAAGCGATGGGAGGGTTTAAACTTAAGCCCGTTAAGATTAATGTAAACTAGTTTAGTTATAGATTTATAGATTGTGGGATTACCAGAACACCCAATAGATTAGATCATACTGATGATAACCGCGTACAAAACGGCTTGAAATAGACTGTGTTGAGGTAATTTTTGGTTATATATATATATATATATATATATATATATATATATATTCGAAAATAATAACATAAGTATGTTATAAAATCACTACAAAATTAGCCATTTTGTTTCAATACTTCAGGTGTCTTATCAAGTGATGGTGTTATAATGGTGTAGAATAAAGGGTTTAAAAGGTTCAAATCAATCAAACATCTCTCGCTAGGAGAATCGCTGTTACATAAGCTGCAATGACCAATCAAAATACAAGTATATGAGAATTCAAAAAACCTGACAACGAACCTTGGTTATGATAATTGATGCTTTAACGTTAGGGTTAGAATAAAATAGAAATCATTCTAATTAATATTTATTTTTACTATAGAATTGAGGATTAAAAATTACCAATTTTAAATTTAATCTGTATTAAGTTAAAAAAATTAAATAATTATTTAAAGAAGAAAGTGAGGAAAAAATATATATGTTTAGTTATTTATTTTGTCTTAATTGAAAGGCCAAAAATTCAGTTAGAATAAACGTTAAAATCTAATGTTGTTCTAAACTTCGTTACAGCATAGATACATTTGAAGTGATGATATGGACAGGGAAGGGTGCATACTTGGATAGATATATATATATATATATATATATATATATATATATATATATATATATATATATATTGTATTTAGCCAGCAATCCCTCTTTTATACATGTTTCATTAAAAGGACTTACAAAGGTACTGCGAATTTAGCTTTTTATTTAATTTTCTTGTGTTCGTACAAGTGTTTTCTTTTATGGACAAACTTTAAAACTGTCCAAAAGTTCCGCATTTCCGAGCGCTTTCGTCTATGCTTTCAATAGAACATCTCTATAACTCTAGGTCCATACATAGCACAAGCCATATATTCAGTAATAAGTAAAATAAAATCATCCTTGATATTGGCTAAAAGTGTAGCCAAAACCACTCATAAATGCAGAACTTTTGAACACTTTGTGTCCAGAAAAGAAAACACTTGTAGAAACACAGGAAAAATTAAATAAAAAGCTTAATCGCTGTACCTTGTCAGTCGTCTTTAATGAAACACACACACACACACACACACACACACACATATATATATATATATATATATATATATATATATATATATATATATATATACAGTATTATATTTATGTATCAAACACGCCCACGAATGTCTAAACTTACCTACCTCACAATATTCATCTGGTCACAAACACTAACGAATAAAAATACGCACGCAAAACACACACACACTTATACGTGTCCACGCATACGCTACCTTTATTTCAACCGGGGTAGTGTGCACTTGTCAGGTGTTATGGGTCTCCACCTGCCAAGCAGACCCGTCAGCTTAGCTAGCTAGCAACACCTCCTTCTCACCCACCATTACACCTTACCTTCCCTACTCAGACCTGCCACCCGGTTCTAACTTAACTTTATCCCTTATTTCCTCTTTTCTAAAGTCTACCGCACACCGTCTACCCCAAGTACTTAGTCTCTCTCCCCACCCGGCCCGGGTACACTCGATCGAGGTCAGATCGGCGCCAGCCTGTCGGTACTTCTCGGGAAGTTACACACCTGGCCTGCCAACAGGTGAGCGAACCCATCCCCCGTGCCAGCCCTCCGCTTAGCATTTCCCTCAGACCTACACCTCGATCTTTTTCTTTTTGTTATTGTTGCTTTTTTCTCTTGTCTTGTTTATTTATTTATTTATTTACTTACCTGTTCCATTTTCTTTATTTCTTTCTTAGCGAAAAAGGCTTCTGTCGCTCTGACTGTTGGTTTGTCCGTCCGTTCGCCTATTACCATCTTTGCCACCCGAGACATAAACACATTTATCTGCAATCCCTCCACCAGCGCGAGGTCGTTTCTAACGCCTCAATACTTAGTCGATACATACTTATATAGGCTTGTATGTTCGCAGATAAATAATGCCTGTGTACACGCATGCACACATGCACGCGTACACACACGCACACGTATGTACACGTAGGGCATTTATGTAACACGGCATTCACATAAACAGATTTATAAAAATTCTTTATATTCCTCCATATGCATATATATTCGTGCATGTGTATACGATGGTATACGTTAGTATGTAGAAGCAATGTATTCAAATATACACCATATATTCGGGTGTATTTGGATGTATTTACATATGATACATACAAGTAACGGCGTGTTTATGTTACATTATTATGCAGGAATACACTCCACACAATATATGACAAACAGAAACAGTGTCAAAGTATAAACATCACATCAAATACTATATTCTCAACACATTCTTTCTCACACAAGCACACACATGTTCTTATCTATCCAAGTCTATTCCATAATACAAATGTTACATTTCTATTACACACACATACACACACGCACACACACATACACACATATATATATATATATATATATAGATAGATAGATAGATAGATAGAGAGAGAGAGAGAGAGAGAGAGATTTGGGTATTTAGGCAGCAAATTATCTTGTAAGCATATCTGATTAAATAAATTACAAACATCATGACAGCCTATTTTTAGCATAATCCTTTCATATTCAGGAATATTTTCCGTGTATTACAATCAAGGAATGCACCGTAACAGTGAAAATCACTTTTATTTCCAAAATGCTTTCCATCCCTTTCTGAGATCATTATTAGGTGTGCAACTGGCAAGGCAAAAAACTATGTGTGCACACACACACATATATATATATATATATATATATATATATATATATATATATATATATATATATATATATATATATATGTGTGTGTGTGTTGTTTTATATATAGTTTGCAACCACTGAAAGCGTCTCTCATTAATGCGCATGTGTAGTCGCGATAACGTCAACAAAGTTAGTCCAATGAAGTCCTACTGTTCTTGATATTTAAAGATTTACATAAAAAAAGTATACATCGTTAACCCATATATATATATATATATATATATATATATATATATATATATATATTTATACAGTGCTGTTCGTTAAAAGTGACTCACCTGATTTTTTTTTAATAAAATCTATTTTTATCTATTGTTTTGGGGGTTAAAATAATTTTTAATCTTACTAATATAAAGACCCCTTCCCGACCACCTAGGAAAACAAATTTATTCACCCTAAGGTATTCTATTGATAATTATAAATTTGGATATAAATGAGATTCAGGAAAAAACTCTGTGCAAAAAAAGTGACTCAGAAATCGCATTCTAATGATTAAACTGTTAAATTAAAGAACTTTTGACAAAATATTGAAAACTATTTTACAATACACTCAGAACAATATTCTAGATAATTCTACAACAGATTAAATTAAATCTAGAGTATTCCAGAATATTCCAGAAAGCCTCATACAGGATAAAAACAGCTTGAAATAGCCATTCAATTCACTAACCAGATGAAAGGGTACAAACACGCATCAGAACTACTTAAGGCATCTATTATTGCCCACACAAAAGCAGGCAAATCTACGAGAGAAATTGCAGAAATTGCTATAACCTCGCAATCAAGTGTCTCTCGAGTGCTTAGGACACATAATGATGCCACTCCTGCTCCAATTAAGTAAACAAGGAGACGAAAGAAAAAGATTGATGATAGAACTGGCAGGGTAATCAAGAGAGAAGTTGCGAAGAATAGGAAGATAACTAGCCAAGAAATTGCAGCCAGTCTAAGCGAAGAGCAAGGTCTTAGTCTTGCCTCTTCAACAGTCCGTCAGAACAAGGTTACAAATCTTGTTAGAACAAGGCTACAAATCTTGTACACGAAGGTTTAAGCCGCTAATAAGCAAAGCCAACAAAGCCAAGAGACTTGAATGGTCTTACTATTACAAAAATTTCACCGTAGAAAACTGGAAGAATGTTCTCTTCTCTGATGAAACGAAAGTTGAGCTAAATTCAAAGGATAAGGTGAGTCACTTTTATCGAATAGCACTGTATATATATATATATATATATATATATATATATATATATATATATATATATATATATATATATTTAATCTGATGAAAAAAGAATCATAATTTTCTAAAACAATTATTAGTTAACTTAATCTTATATGTAAATGCACTTAATTCAGTTGTAACTACCAACAGTGTAAATATTAGGCTAAAACTAAACGATCAAAGTGTGTAAGTCTTTCTTGGCAGTTAGTATTTTTAGTATTAACTTTGTGTATGCTAATAA